CTTCAGGGCCAGGTACCAGGACACTGGCAATGACACACGCAAGCCCCGTGACTGGGCATCGCATCTCACTGCATGCTTTTGGCCCATCTGGAGCTCCATGAGGACTTTCACTTTCCCTATGGATGATGCTACCCTGCTGGCACCTGCGGCCAAGCGAGCGAGCATGCTCCAAACCCCCTGTGCTGTGGGGGGTGTGGCACTCATCTCCTGGGATGCTCCAGGAGTCCATTGAAGCAGCTCCTTCCCCATTCCCACCTCCTCAGCGAGCTTCAGGCACTCAGTTAGGATGTCGTTGATCTTGAAGCAGAGACGCTCTGGGGTCTTTTCCTTCTCTTCCTCCTTGACATTTGCCAAGGACAGTTTCACTGGCTTTTTCTGCAGCAGAGTCATAGGTGGCCGCTTGTACGTCTTGCCTTTGGAAGCCAACCACTCCTCCAGCTGTTTCCTGATGAAGCACCAAGAGATCACTGTTACCACCCCAGCAGACCACCAGCACTTGGCCAGGCTACTCTCTTCCCATGGGAAATCTCCCTCTAGCCAACTTCAGCTGCTCAGGAAGAACCAGTACATCTATCCTAAAAACGTATCCGAGCCCTAAGCTGGGAAAGGAAAAACCCCCCAGGTTTTCGCGTGCCTTGAAGATGAAACAGGAGAGCAGCTGCACGCTCTCCTCCTGCTTGCTGAATTGGTGGGAAAGGAACTCAGGGTACCGCCAAATCTCATCCCCACTCTCCTCTCTTCTGGGAAATCAACCTCCAGACAAGCATTCTCTGGGAAGGGGACTTGGGACCCTGTTGGCAGCAGGTTGGTGCTGGTTCACCCAGTTAAACACTTTATAAACTCTGCTGTCCCCTGGAGGCGAGGACGGCCGCGGCCAAAGCTGCTACTTACTTACGGTCTGCAGGTGATGGGGTCTTGGGAACACGCCAAGCCTGGATTCCATTTCCCTTCAAGAGCTTCGGCTTAAGCTTCTCTCCCCTACTCCTAAAATCTCTCTCAATTGCTTGAATTTTGGAGCCGTGTGCGCTGCGAGGCTGGTTTTGGGGCACTGTCACGCAGGATGCTGCTGTGCGTCTGACAGGCACCACCTTTGTGTCCTTCCTATCCACTTCCCCTTTAGCCGTGGGCCTTTGCCATTCCATGCTGCCACACGCTTTCAGGCTGGGTTTTGGCTTCGTGGTCCCCTGGGGCCTGGTAGAGGCCAGGAGCTTTATGGGAGGCCCTTTGACCTGGAGGGGTGCACTGTAGTGCTTCAGGCTTCCCGCTGGAAGCGTGCCGAGTGGTCTTCCTGTGGTTTCCCTGGCTGTGCGAGTTTTATCCTGGTCTGCCCCCAGCATTTTATGCAGCGAATTAGTGGAAGCAGAAAACTTCAGGGGCTGCAAAGGCTGAGGTTTGACACTTGGGTTTTGTGGTGCGCTCTTTGAGCCTGGCAGGGCTTTCCTGAATTTATCCTGAATTGGCTCTTCCCTAGCCTGGTGGCTATTAATTCTGTCCTTTGGGCCCGTGACAGTTCGTGACATCATGGCTGAGCTTTGCCTCTGAGTAAAGACCCTCTGGTTCCTGAGACTCTTTCCATCAGACTGAAAAGGTCTGCTGGGCAGGGGGTGTGCAGAGGCTTGTGCTTGGATGTTTTTTTTGTTGCCAACCAGCCTGCCCTGCAGGCCCTCATTTAGGGAGAAAGGTGCCCCAGGCGGGGGGAGGTCAATTCCAGGCGGATGTGCCGCAGCAGTGACAGTCTCCTGCGCAGGCGTCTCCTTCCTTTCTGGATTTAGGTGACCAGAGGATGAAGCTGGGAGCCTCCCTTTGGGCTGTGTAGGGTGGCTCCTGCTCAGCACGAGCCCCATGGGAAGCTCTGTGCTCCTCCTTGGCAGCTCTGGATGTGCTGCTGCCGCTCTCTGGGATGTAATTGAAGGCTTCTGCTGAGCAGCGTGGCCAGCACGGTGTGAGGATTTGGCATCCAGCTTGCCATCCCTCTGAGCGCCCTTTGCCACGTTTCTGACAACGTCCTTGTTCCTGTCAACCTGGAGAGAGAAAGCAAACCTCAGTCCCAAGGAGAGCCGAGCGTGGGCAAACCCTGGAAGCTTGCTCCCATCACCACCCTGCTAGCACAACGGCGTCCGTGCAAAGGCCCACGGTGATGAAGCTGTTCTCCAAAGAATGACAATACCCACCAGCCCCTGTGGGGATGAGTCTCCCACACTAAATTCCTCTGAAAAATAATTAGTTGGCTTATCTGCAGCAGTTTAGCAGCATGCACCCCGCTGGGGTCAGGAACTCCCTATTTAGGTTCCCTGTTCTGCCCAGGCTTGCTTCAAGCACGATATACAAAACTAGACTCAAAAGGTTTCTACTTACACGTTCCAGTTTAGGAACTAGTTCTAAGGGTGGATGATTCAGGTGGTTTGTCCGGTCCTTTAAAAAGGCTCTGTAGGAAGCCAAACAAGATATCAGGTAAACAAGATAAACAGCTGTTGCAAAAAGGGTTGAATATCTACAACACTGCTGGCTGCCTTAGTCACAGGAGCTTTTGGAAATCAAAAAGCCATCAAGGCAGTACCACGTAACGTTAATTCTTTTCCTTTCGCGTGGCAGCAGAAAAGCAACACAAAACACCAAGATCCAAGGCTGTCACAGAACGTAGAGCTTCCGCTGACAGCACAAGTAACCAAAATGGTTCTGGCAGGAGGGGGCTGCGGTGGGTTTGGAGGGCTCCCGACACCCCCACGGGCGTCCTGGCTTCGCCCTGGTGCTGCAGGCAGCTAAGGCGCATCCGAGTCAGCTGGTGCTGTGCTGCAGGTCACAGCAGTGTCTCAGGGTACATCAGTCAGGGTTCACTCTGCCACAGTGGCCAATTCACGACCTTCTCAGCTGCCCAGGCTCTGCCAGTGAAGCGGAGAAGTGGGACGGCAGCCCCAGCTGTTGCTGCCCCCCTCCTGTCCTCCTCCCTGCACTGGAGCACTCTGTCAGCAACCAGCTGCGGGGCTCCCCCCACCCTGCTCCGGATCTAGCAGCTCAGCTGATGCCCACGCAGATATTTTCCGTAATGAAAAAGCCTGAAGGGTTTGGGTATTGCCCTCTATTCTACACAAATGGTGTAAGAAAGACCATGAATCTTCCCTCCTCATTTCTATTATATTACTGGTGTTTTCTGGAGCCTGGCACCAGGGATTGGGTGGCTCTTTCTGGTCTCTGATCCTGCTTCCCTTCATCTTCTCCCCACGGAGAAGTTTTAGGTCTTCCTTTGCACTATAGTGTCATGAGAAATACTCACTGCAGTCTCTCAAGTGTTCGGGTTCGACAAGCACATCAGCAGTTTGAATTAAAGGCTTTGCAGACAGTTACCTCACTACTTGTGGCCTCCACATGGCTGCTGCGCTCACAGCGGCATATCTGCACGCAGCCCAGCTTTGGAGGAACCGAGCAAGGCAGCGACGGGGGCCCAGAGGTAACTCATTTAACTGGTGGCTGTATCTATTTCCTTTTAAACGCTCTGAAAAATGTCCCTTCACAGCATTAACCTATCCCAAGTGGCCAGTGAAAGCTGCCATTGGAAAGCAGCAGTGAGACTTGATCCACCCTTTTTCAAGGCCCATTAGGAAGTAGAGTTACTGACAAAAAGGGCCCACTCTGCCCAACCCAAGAACTGAGATGAGAAAGTTTCACAGAGACTCAGAAAATACCCAGAAGAGACAATATCAACCAGCAGGAAATGTCAATGCTCAAACCATCCCTTTGCTCCTGCTGCCAGAAATTCTACAGAGCGCTGCTGGGCAGAGCTGTTCCCGCTCACTGCCTTGACAGCAAGGCTCTGGGAGGAGGCGATTTTCCAAAAATCACTGCAGAGAGAAGGCAGACACTGGCAAGCTGGGAAGAGTCAGCTTTACTTCAGAGAATCAGAGCGACTGAGAACAGGAGGGACCCTTCAGATCATCTACTCCAAGCCCAAAGTCCTCCTGACTTACTTTGCACTCGGGCATTTCAGCTTCTTTTTGCCTGTTTGGTTCTCCTGGATCCGACTTCTCCACTCCTCTGCAAAGAGATGGTAGGAAAATGCAGTGCGCACACCACAACCTTGGTATTTGCAGCATCGCTACGAACTCATTTGCATTCACAGCATTACCACGCAGGTCCCCCACGCTCCCCACCCAAACTGGGCAGTGCTGCTGCCAGAAGTTTCCAGGTCATTTCCACACACATGATATTGCCCAGAGGCTTGTCAGCACAAAAGCCCAGAGCTGTCTGACACTTGCAGCGTGATGCGCTCAAAGCCTCGGTTGTGGGGGGGCTTAGTTAATTTACAGGAGGAAAGAGGAGGTGCTGCTGACGGCCCTGCTCAGCGATGTATCCCATTAGCCTGACCCTTGCCGTTGCGAAGCCCTCTGCTAACATAGGCAGGTGGGAAGAGCGAAAAGAGTCTCGTTGGGCAGGGGGGAGAAACAGGGGATACTCTGACACTCCCAGTTTGGCTGAGGTACTGGGGCATCTTATGGCAGGGACAGCCTAGCCCGGCTGGAATCCAGTATCGCCCCGTCCCTAAATCTGTTCCACCCTCATCACCCACATCCCCAGGCCTCTGAGGACACCTCAGTCCCCCCACTCTGGCCAGCCCTCTGCCCCTCAAGCCACCCCATTCCCTTGACGCTGCACCCCAAGGCTTCCACAGAACAGCATGGCACCCCCCGGTGCCCCCAGCCTCCCCAAAGCACATCCCAAACCTCTCCACATCACCTGCCCTCCCAGACCACGGCAACACCCCTCATTTCATGGGTAGGCCCTGTGCCTCATTCGGGTTCACAGCATGCTCCCTCCTCCATGTTCCTCCCAAAGTCCCAGCAGCCACCCACTCCGTCCCTGCCCCTCCACGCCATCCCCAAGGCAGGCCCATCCACCCCACAA